TGGTTACTAATATTGAATTTTCCAATCCATTAATATGGTATATTTCTCCACTTATGTCTTATTTTATTTCTTTTATAAGCATTTTTAAATTTTCAGCATAGAGTTTCTGTACATTTTTTTAAGTGTATATCTAAGTATTTAATTTTCTTTGGTATGATTGTAAGTGATAGTATGTTTTTAGTTTCAGTCACTACAATTCATTGTTATTATATATAAATACAATTGATTTGGGGGAGCTGACCTTGTGTCCTGTGACCTTTCTAAACTTACTCATTATTCTAGGAATTTTCTTTGTAAATTCTTTGGGATATACTACACAATCATATCATTTGCAAATGCAGACAGTTTTTGTGTCTTCCTTTCCAATATGCATGCCTTTTATTTCTTTTTGTTGTCTTTCAGTGGCTTGAACTTCTAGTACTATGTTAAATAAGAGTGGTAAAGCCATGCCTTGCTGCTGATCTTAGGGAGAAAGCATTCACTCTTTCGCCGTTAAGTATGACATTAGCTGTCAGCTATGTTTTGGTTTTTTTGTTTTTTGGGGTTTTTTTTTGGTAGATGTTAGACACTTTTTATCAAGTTGGGATAATTTCCCTCTGTTTCTAATGTCTATTTTTATCATGAATGAGTGTGGGATTTTGTCAAATGCTTTTTATCCATCAATTATATGATTTTTCTTATTTCTTTGTTGTGATGGTGGAATATATAAACCAATTTCCAAATGTTGAACTAGCCATACATACCTGGAATGATCCACTTGGTCATGCTTATGTATATCATTTATATATTGCTAGATTTGATTTGCTAATATTTTATTTAGAATTTTGGCATAAATTCATTAGATGTATTGAGCTATAGTTTTTTTTTTCTTTTCTCTTCTTTTTCTTTTCTTTTTTTTTTCATTCTCTTCATGTGGTTTTGGTTTCAGGGCAATACCAGCATCATAAAATGAGTAAATAAATTTTATTTATTTATTTATTTATTAAGTATTCCTTCTTCTTTCATTATCTGGAAGAGATTGGGTAAGACAAGTTTTAATTTTTCTTTAAATGTTTGGTAGGATTCTCCTATCTAGTAAAATCATTTGTCCTGGAGATTGCTGTTTGGATGGTTTTTAAATTATAAGTTAAATTGTAACCATTCAACATCTGTAACGGTTATAGGAATATTGATATCGTCTATTTTGTTATGGTTGAGTTTTGGTAGTTTGTGGTTTTCAATGAATGGTCCATTTCTTCTAAGTTGGAGAATTTACAAATATAAATTTGTTCATAGTATTCCCTTGTTATCTTTTTAATGATTGCAGCATCTGTAGTGGTATCTTTTATTTCAGTCTTAATAGTTGTTATTTGTGCCTTCACTCTTTTTATTTTTGTTAGTCATGCTACAGATTTGTTAATTTTATTAATTTTTTCTTTCATTGATTTTCTCTATTGTTTGCCTATTTTCATTTTCATTGATTTATTTCTTGCTTCCTGGTTCCTTTAGATTTATTTTATTTTATTTTTTCTAGTTTCTTGAGGTAGGAATATAAACATTTTCTCATTTCTAATGTAAATGTTTAATGCTATAGAATTCCTTCTTATAACTGCTGTCAGTGTGAGCTACATATTCTGATTGTGTTTTTTGCTTTCATTGGGTACTCTGCTTTTAAAAAATTTTTGTCCTATTTGGCCTGTGGATTATTTAGAAATTTGTTTGGAAATTTTCTTCTTTTATATTTGTTTTTGATTTCTAGTTTGATTCCATTGTGGTTGAAGAACATATTCTGTATCATTTGAATTCTTTTAAATTTGTTGACATTCATTTTATTACCCAAACATATGAACTGTCTTGATAAATGTACCATGTATACTTGAAAAAAAAAGTATTGCCTTGTTGTATAGAGTGTTCTATGTATGTCAATTATATTCTGTTGGTTGACTTTATTGTTCAGACCCTGTGTATCCCGGCTGAATTTCTTTCTAGTAGCACTACCAATTCTTGAGATAGGGCTGTTGAAATCATCAAGTGCAATTGTGGATTTGTATTTCTCTTCTTTCTGTTCTATCTGTGGTTGCTTCATGTATTTTGAGACTCTGTCATTTGTTGCATACACAATTAGGACCATTATTTTTTCCCAGTAAATTGATCAATATAGAATAACCCTCTGTGTCTATAGGAATTTTCCTTACTCTGAAACCTACTTTATCAGATATTAATACAGCTACTACTGGTCTTTTAAAAATAAAGATTTATATGGTATATCTATTTTTATCTTTTTGCTTTCGACCTGCCTATGTTATCGTATAAGAGTTTTTTGTAAGTGGCACATAGTTGGGTAATGTTTATGCATTTTGCTAATTTCTATCTTTTGATTAGTATAATTAGACAATTTACTTTTAAGTTAATTATTTGTATGTTAGTGTCTAAAAGTGCCATTTTGTTATTTCTTTTTTCAGGTTCTTAATTCCTCCTCTGTGTTTCTTTCTTCCTTTTCTCTGGATAACTTGAATAGTGTTTTAGAATTCCAGCTTGATTTATCTTTAATGTTTTGATGTGTCTTTTTGTATAGTTTTTGTAACAGTTTCTCTAGGTTTTATAGTATACACATGTGACATATAACAGCTGAATGGTGTCAATATTTTATCATTTTCAGTAAAGTATGGAAACCTCATTTCCATTTAGATCCCTCTATCAGCCCCTTTAAAATATTATTTTCTTATAAATCAGAAGATATTGTGATTCTTTATTCAATTATCAAAAATAACATAACATTCATGAAGAAAAAGATAGTCTGTTGTGTATATCCATGTATATACTCTTTCCACTGTTCCTTCTTTCTTCTTAATTCCCTAAAATTTTTTATTTTATTATTTTCTTTCTGTTTGAAGTGCTTCATTTAAACAATATTTAAGGATAGTCCTCCTAATGACAAATTATTTAGTTTTCTGCATCTGAGAATGTCTTTATTTCCCCTTCATTCCTGAAGGATAGCTTTGCTAGATATAGAATTCATGGCTGATCATTCTTTTCTCTCAGCATTTTAAATATATTTTAGGGAGCTTGTTCAGCTTTTTGGATCTGTAGGTTTGTGTTTTTAACAAATTTGTGAAGTTTTCAACTACTATATCTTTAAGCACTCTTTCGGCCTCCACTTTTCTGTTTTCTTTTCAGGACATAAATGATATGAATGTTGGAACTCTTGTCTCAGAGGCCCCTGAGAGAAGCTCTAGTCATTTTATTTAAAAAACAAATTTATTTTCTCTCCGTTATCCATATTGGGTGAACCCTCTTGTTCTGTCCTAAAGTCACTGATTTGACCCTTCATCTCTGCTCTGCTATTGTTATACTTATTATACTTATTGTTATACTTATTACTTTATTTTTCAGTTCTATAATTTCCATTTGGTTTTTTAAAACAACTTTTCTGAGATTTTTTTTTATTTATTTCTAGAGAATTTTTAATTGGTTGGTGATGCATTTTTATGGCTACTGCTTTAAACTCCTTGCCAAGTAATTCCAACATTGGATTAATACCACTGTTGACCAGCTTATTGTTTTTTTTCATTCAAGTTTTGATCTTCCTAATTCTTGTTATGACAGATAATTTTCAGTTGTATGCTAGGCATTTTGTCTATTATATAAGGAGTCCCTAAGCTCTATTTACATCTTGTATTTTAGCAGTTACTTGCCCTGTTTAGGTTTAACACATCAATCTTGGGCTTTGTGGACTGTGATTTCCATGGCAGTTAAATCTTCAGAGTTTTTGCTGTGTTGTTTTGGTCTACTTATTTTTTCTGGTTCCCTGGGGCTCCCAAGGTTCTCTGCTGGTGTGGTCTTCAGAGTGGGAGGGGCTTCCTCAGGGTGACCACCAGGTGTATCTTGGTGGGAGATAGGTGTGATGAGATCTATGTACCTCTGCCTCCAGCTACCTATCTGTATCTAGTCAAGGCAGGAGAGCCCCGGACCCTTTGCCACAAAGTCTGCTTGACCAGGTGCTTGCTGTGGCAGGTGCCTTCTCTGGTTCCACCCCTCACTCCTGTATGTCTCAGTAGGAAAGGGGCATCTCAGGCCCAGGGGAAAAGAGACACCCCTGACCACTGATTTCTGGTGAGGCTCCGATGGTCTGCAGGTGGTTCATCTGGTGTTGTTGGAGGAACTCTGTTCTACCTGGAGGATGAGCCCAGCTGGGTGCCTGCTGTAGCGCAGTGGGGTCTGGGGAGCCCTGTGCCTGATGGCCTTCCCCCGCGGGGTGGGGACTGAGACCTGGCACTGTGCTGCTTCTCCTGGGCCCTGGCCATGTTTGCCCTCCCCCGCCTCCTCCCAGAGTGATCCTGGGTTGCCTCCTGTGCCCTCCCTGGGTTCGCAGCTGTGCTTAGTGGGAGGAACAGGAGCAGGGGCAGGGAACTACCCGTGTTGTCCTTCCATATAGCTTTTTATCTCAGCCCCTTATCGATAAAGTCACTTAGGGACTTGCTTGGTTTTCTGTCATGCAGCAAGGCAGCACGGCCTCACCAGCCTGGGATTCTGACTTCCTGGGCTCCGTTCAGTCTGTGCCGCAACCTCGCACGGGGCCTTGGCCAGGCAGAGCTCTGTGGTTGGATGTTGCTGCCAGTGCTAGTATGGCCTCCTCGCCAGGGTCCTGGGCCAGACCAGATTTGCACCTGCGGCCATGATGCAGTTATTAATGTGTGCTCCTCACTCCCTTGGGAATTAAAGTGTAATAAATAAAGTGTTTTACAGCAACCATTTATTAAATATTAGTAAGGCTCCATTTTCTTGTCTTATTTTAGTAAGCATAAACATAAATACAACCTCTGACCTCTCCCCCCACGCCCTAGTGGGCCGCCCGGTGTGCCCGGCGCCCTGTGGCCGAGCCTCTGGAGGGGCTGGCGCTGGCAGCGCCGGGGAGGGAGGGCTCTGCACTGCCCAGTGGAGAGTGATGCTGTGCGGTGCTGCGGGGCGCTGACTTTGATGCTGCCCTCCTTCGTCACCCTGGGTGGCGCGCGTGTTCCCAGGGCTCCTTCCTGCAGAGGCTCCCCGATGGGGGAGGGCGGCTCGCTTGCCCTCACTCTGGGACTCACTTAGGTATCGGGCTGCTGGGACAAGCGGAAGCTGGTGTGCGAGTTTGGAGAGGGAAGGGGTTGAGCTATGAGGATGAAATAAAAGAGAGGATGGAGGAGACAATATCCTGTTTTATTTGCGATATTCTCTACTTAAGATTATGTAATATTTCATGATGCAATGCAGCAGCAGGTGACAGCTCTGCCTTTTGGGGTAAGTGATCCGGTTTTAAAAAATCATGCTATTAATTGATTCATAGAGTTTTCCTTTTTTGCAAAGTACGTTTGAACTTTGTGCCACTGCTGGCTTATTTAGCATCCAGTCATTTTTAATAGTGACAGAAATAACTTTGTTAGTGATTTACTTTGCTTCTCGATTGCATTTTTCTTTCAATTTAATGACATGTAGTCAGAGGGCGTGGTGCTGGTTCTGCAAAGGTGTTTGTTTTACCCGTATTTTCTTGCCAAAGGATTTCCTGACAATATGGATATTTGGAGAAGACTTTTTTAGATATTTTCCACTAGTTTTTATGTATTGTTTCAAAACAGATTCATATTTATAGAAAACTGCTTTTACAAAGTTGATGAAAGCCCTCTTTGTTATTTATGGAAAGAACTAAAGAGATATTAGTAGTCTAAATTAGGAATAACCCCTGCTGCTATCTGCTGTAAAGTTTTTAGGAGTAATTAATATTTTCTTCTTCAATTTTCATTTTAATAGTAATTTTCAGTTATGCAAAAGTTTTCAAGGGAATAAATGAGATTCGTGGTTCTATAATGCAGGAGTTAATGACTTGTCAGCTAATTTCTTTCTTAATCTTCAGTTACTTCAATATCATTTTTCATCTATTCTATAAATGACTATTTAAACCAATTAGTTCCCCTCTTAATTATCAAACTGAAAATTACTTAAATTGGATCTTCTTTGTACCCTACTTAGATAGTGAATCTGCCTAAAAACCCTTCAGTAACATGATATTAAGGACTTTAGGCTTTATCTCTATAGCTGTGTTTTCTTTTATAAAACATTGAAGACCTTTTTCACTTATGGAATTATTTCCATGTTATTAATATTAAAAGAACATTCAGAGTAAGACATTTCTTGAAAACCTAATGCTTGAACTATATTACTAATCTACTTGTTTGGACAACTTTCTAAACAACTCAAAATATTTTATAATATTTCCTTATCTTTTTTCGACTAGAAAAACCAAGGCCATTTATACTATAGTTCTAGCATCTGGATTGTATACTCTACTGACCAGTGTTCTTGAGCAACTTCCATCTGGATGGTGCCTACATATTGCAATTAATTTATGAAGTGCACAGTATAATCAAGGAGAAAGTCAGTTACAAATACACATTGGATGATGTGGGGTGACGTGAGCACCTTAGTTAGGTCAGACCAAGGGGCGCTCGGAAGAATTTGGAAAGCCCAGATGAGAGATGATTACAATCATGTCAGCTTTGGACTTTAGGGCGCTGTCCAAAGAGGAAGGTGTCAGGTGGGCCACTTTCTAGGTGTATCTCTGTTAAAAGATGGTTTTCAGACAAAAGATGAAAGTGTGATTTTCATGCAGATATAAAAATGAACTCATGGTGAAGATTTCATTTTACTGTAATCAGTGAGGGAACCAGACAGAAGTTAAAACCAGCCCAAAGGAAAGTAAAAACGTGCAAATTTATATGGAATAAATGAATTCAATTGCACATGGAGACAGAACTGGTTTTTCACAGAACCCTGAGGTCAGTTGAAATTCTACAGAACAAGACAAATTTGCAAGACAAACAAGACAAAGACATCCCTCTCCATCCCGTAGTTTACTAAGAGTTGTAAAATAGCTGATGGCAATGAACAATGTAAAAATCTGACCGTCTGTAAGGGTATGCTATAGACAGTGCATAATTTTTCACTGAAGAGCAAAAATTTTTTTCTACCCTGTCTGTGGGTTTGTTTTTGTTTCTTGCCTCCCCTCCATGAATAAATTAAATTGGGAGAGGGAATATGAGGAAAAGTCATGCTTGTGCAATCCTTCAGTCAGTTGGGAATAAACCAATGAATACACATTGTCTCCAAGTTTCTTGATAAAAGGCAAATAAGTTGTAATGGGGAGGACTTTTATTATTAGTAATAGTGCCTTATTACTCTCCCCACAGTACATCCAGGCCGTTACGTTACTTTTGAGTCCAGTGAAACTGAACTACTATTGCCTACTGCAAAAAGTTGGAAACAACAATAAACCAGACAATAACAAAGTTTAATAAAAGTAGTGGAGGATTAGGTAAAACAGCAACACTGTCACAGCTTGCATGAGGAAAGCATGACCTGTAATATCCTTCCATGTACATCTCAGTGCTCCTCCAAAGAGACCCTGCACAGGAGCCACAGCTACCGTGTTTCCCCGAAAATAAGACAGGGTCTTATATTTATTTTTCCTCAAGAAGACACCGAGGGCTTATTTTCAGAGGATGTGTTATTTATTTATTTTTTTTTAGTACGGTACACCAATCTACATTTATTCAAATATAGTTAAGTCGTCTTCTTCTGGAACATCATCATAACTCTCCAAATTCTGAATTCCATCCTGAATTTCTTGCGACTCTATTTCCTTTAGTACCATCGGCCCCAATCTCTCAGGTCAAGCAATAGAGCTCTCATGGGGCAGATGAGAAGGGCTGCTCGTCTTCTTTATACTCTGTAACACATGCATGGGTTGTGCAGATGCGCTGCGCAGCCACGCCTGTCACTAGGTCTTATTTTCGGGGTAGGGCTTATATTGCGTAAATGCTTAGAAATCCTGCTAGGGCTTAGTTTATGGGGAGGTCTCGTCTTCGGGGAAACATGGAATGCACCCCCCTGGTCATGTCTGCACCTCTGCCCAACCGGGCAGGGCCCATCCAGAGCAGGAGACGGGAGTAAAGGATCTGGGAGTTTATTTCCAATCTTTTCCCCACCAAGTACTTCAGCATAGAGTGGAGGTTTTTGCTGGCAAACTTAGAGGTAAAAATTTAAAACTTCCTCAAGAATGTATCATCTGGTCAGCTTCTGAGAAGGGAAGGAATGGAAGAAAGTGTTGCCAACCTAGTTTTCCTTTTTGGTAACAAAAAAGGGTGCATTTAAAATCAAACACAAGAATTTAAGGAAGCTTTGAATACCGCATAAAGACAAATTCTAGCGGATGAGACGAGCTGGCTGATGGGCTCAGGAAAGAACTGTAAGCCCTGTCTCCTGTGCACCCAGTGCCACGAGTCTGAAGGTCGAGGGGAGACCTGCTCTCACCCCACTTTCTCAAGCAGCAGTTTAGGTAGGCGTCCGGACAGCAGAAAGCTACTCAGAGCTTCGTCCTGTCATTGAACCTGCCAAATCTTGGTTTATTCATCTATTAAATGGGAATAATAATAGTTACCTTGTAGGGCAGTGAAAATAAAGTAGCGTGCACAGCGCAGAAGCAGGTGGGCTCCCGCCGGCCCCAGCCCTAGCCCCACGTGCCCAGTGCTGTCACGCCGCCTCCCCAGCGGCTCCGCCTGGCATGAGGCCAAGCCCGTGCCAGGTTGGCCCCCACCGAGGTGTGGAATGACAGGCTTTGGACACAGAAGGATGATGCAGGTTCAACTCCTGGCCTTGCCCCTCAAAAGCTACATATTTGGGCAGGTGGTGACTTACTACGGTTGCCATCAGTGTGTCCTCTATGAAACGGAGATGACCTGGCCCCATACTGAGAGTTCAGTGCGTGTGTAGTGAGTCTCCAGTGAGAACTAAATGAGGCGCAGGTTTGAAACTCTTGGTCCTTTATGCCCACTAGCTGATGTCACATCACTGCAACGTCCTGTTGTTGTGGATGTGACTCGGCTACTCCCGCCAGTCCTGACGTCCACCGTGGGCTCGCTCCCTCCCGGCCGCCTGGGATCCGCCAGCACGGGCTGCTCTCTGAGGAGGCTGTAGTCCCTCCTTCCTGCCCCTTGGCCCCGTGAGGCCGCACTGTGCCCTGCCCTTGGGGACGGGTTTGGCAGGCTCTGCAGGGCGGAGAGGCATGGTGAGCGCCTGGGGGCCTATCTGCCACTAGCTACTGAGTGGAGAAACCGCCCACTGCCCATTCCTGGCTCAAACTTTGTGAAAACTTCTTTTGAAGTCTGAGGCCTTGGGGCAAGGTATTTAGCTTCTTGGAGCCTCGCTTTCCTAACCGTCAGAACGGGCACCGTGTGCGGCTCGGAGCCCGTCCTGAGCCCATGAAAGCAAGAGCTCCTGACAGAGCCGTGCGGACCCTGCTGGGGACATGGCCTGGCCTCTCAGGATGCAGCTCGCCCCGCTGCGCCTGCATGGTCCGCCCAGGGTGGCGGAGAAGGCCCCTCTTGCCTGAGAGCGTGCACAGCCTGTCACCCTCAGAGACGGAAAACTCAGAGAACACAGCTCTCACCAAAGGCTTTTCTCAGCCTTTTCCTCCAGCCGTGGGGCATCCTGGAGCGACCCAGGACAGGGGGCCACCCTCTGTTGCCTGGGACCCTCCGTGGCTCCAGTGACGTCCAAGCCAAGGAGGAGCTGTCTGCCCTCTCGTGCTGTGGCCCAGCCTGCTGTCTGCGAGCGCGGCGGCCCGGGTCAGAGAAGCGCAGGCCGAGTCGCTCGAGCAGCCCACGCTCTCTGGGGCAGCGGCTTCCTCCCACGGCTGCACAGCTTTTACCAGGGCCAGCCACTAAGTCCCTAAATACAGCATGCCGGCGAAGCTGTGCGCAGTTCAGGAAACAGGGAGACACGGAGGACACGGAGGGAGGCCTGGGCTTGAATGGCGGTGAGATGTGTAGGCACCAATGAGATGGGATTTGCAGACTCTGATATGATTCCTCGGGGCTTCTGGGGTCTGGCCGTCTTTTGGGCTGAGCAGCGGGCTGGCCGGTCCTCTGTGCCGCCCGTGTCTTGCGGGGTCGCGTGCGGTGGAACAGTGCCCACGTGGACTCAGGAGCGAGGGCCAGATGAAGGCTCTGCCCGCTCTGATGCGCCATCCAGGACAGCTCTCCGTGTCCCTGGGGCGGCCCCCCCCCAGCTGGCAACAGGGCGTCTCGTGATGCTGCTGGTGGTGAGTTGCGGTGAGGAATACAGAAGAAAATTTGTGAAATTGCCTAGCCCTGAGCAGATGCTCGGTAAAAGCTCATAAATTTATTTTCACGTTGCCAATCCTTGACATGAATTTTTCTAGAACTTTACTTTCAAATTCCTGTTAC